CACAATGCCTCCCGCCCCCCCAAAGCAGGCTGTTTGAGGACAAGGCGCGTGAGCTGCAGATCAGCGACCTGCCGGGCTTCTACTCATCAGACCTGTTCCGCGGCAGCTTCCGCCTCGACCAGGGCGCCCACACAATCGTGTACAGCGGGTGACGCTCCTATGGGTGACGCCGCCCACGGGTGACGCCGTCTGCGGGTGACGCCCGTCGCGGGTGACGCCGCCTGCGGGCGAAGCCGCCTGCTGGGTGCGCCCGGCGGGCGGGGACGGCCTTTGCTTGTTTTCGACCCTGTTGCGGCCCGCCGGCACGGCGCGGCGGCTCGTAGCTTTATACCGCGTTGCACGCGCAGCTGCTTAGGTGGTGTTGTCATGCGCTCGGGCCGCTTGAATCCGCCGTTCCCTCCCGCGCGCGTTCTCTTCTTGCCCCTGCCTATGTGCGTGTCTGGTCGGTTTAGGCTTTACTGGGTTGGGTGTCATGTCACCCCAGCCGCACTACAGGCAACACGCAACGAATGTAACTTGCACATAGTCATCAGGCAGGACGAGCTGCCGGGTCACACGGGCAGCCATCCCCAAACGCAACCCCAAAGTGCACCCAGTCCAGCGACCCGCGCTCTGTGCAGGGCACGAACTAGAAGGCGGGCCGCCCCGGCCTGCTCTGCGGGGCGCCGCCCCCGCGCCCCGTACGCCACGCTTTCGGGCCCGCCCGCCCCGCCCTGCTCGTCAGCCTGGGCCGCGCGCTGACGCACATCTCGATCTGCTGGAACGAGCGCCGCCCCCGGCTGGCGCGCCCTCCAGCCGGAAGACTGCGAAGCAGGCAGGGCAGGCTTTGGCCTCCCGAGGCCACAGCCTCCACAGAGCGGCGCGGGCACCACACCGCCGGCCTGGCGCTGCCTCAGGGAGCTCAGATCTGAGACAAGCGCGAGGGCCCTCTGTGACGGCTGCCGCGTCCCGCCCCCGGAAAAACAGGCTGTGCCTGCAGCACCCAGCAGTGCAGCTAGGGAAAAGCAGAGGTGATTACTCAAGGGCTCACGGCCCATCGCCCCGCCGCCTGGCGGGGCTTTTGACATGCATGTGTTGCCGTTTGCGGCGGCACAGGGCAGCTGCTGTGTGCGTTGGTGGGTTGTGGCTGTGGCAAGAGTGCGGTAAAATAGTAATATGATATAAGATAATTGATATATCAGTGCACATGGGGGTCAAAAAAGCGCCCGATTTCGTGGCAATACTGTTCCCCAAAAGAGCCGCCCATGCATTAAGTGCAGTGCAGGCGCCACCTCGGGCGAGGGCTCGAAACACGCACGCCCCCGATGCAGCAGCACCGCGCGAGTGCGCGTGCGCACGCATCCGAGCCCGACTAGGGTGGTACGTAGCGCGCAGGGCGCGGCAGTGGCCGACACCTCGCCGCGACGCGCGCGCCGGGCCGGCACCCTCTCGAGCGGCCGCAGAGGCCGCGATTGCCCTGCATGTTTCTGGCGCCCGTTGAGGCGGCCCCCCCAGGTGTGGGTCAGCGCTGGCCGCTTCAATAATCAAAGGCGCACGCGCGCGCAGTGCGTCAGTTCGAGTGCCGCGGCGGCCGCCGGGCGCAATCCGATCCGCAAGTGCTGTGGTGCTGTTTCCCTAATCCCCTCACATGGTGGCTCGCGAAAATCAGGGCGTCGCCGCTAGCCGGCTTGCCGCCCGTTCAACTTCCAGGAAGAACCAAATGCGCCCCATCCCTCGAGCGAGACACGAAAGGCGAGCAACGGCGGGCCGCGGTGGCGGCCGCCGGCGTTTGCATGGCCCAGAAAACTTGTCGGGCCGCGAGCCCGGCCGGCGCGCGGCGGGACCCGGCGAGGCGCCTTGTTGCCGGGGGCTCGGGCGCGGCTCTCCGGTCCTGCTGGAGAGCCGCAGCGCGGCACGACGGATGTGCGGGCGATTTCTGCGTGGTGCATGTGTGGCTGCTCTGCCTGTGGCGTAAATCATGCAGATGCCCGCTGGCTTGCGGGAATTGTAAGCAGCGGGAACATGCGGCATAAAAACCTCACAGCACACATGTCGATATGAGTGGCAGGGCGAGGCCTGCGCTGGCGGGCCCGAATTCGGCCCTTGCATGGCCTGAGAAGGCGCGGCTGGGCGGGGCTGTACGGCATCGATGGAAACAGGCCATGCCCTGCCATCATGCTGGCGTGCTGGTCGCATCCTGCGCGCTGCCTGCGTGGCAGAGGACATGCTTACGGGTGCCTGCGACTGGACGGCGGCGGCGGCCGCTGCGCGCACCCATCAGCGGCGGGCGTTTGCGCCGCCGACGGGCGGCGGCGCTTGGTTGGCGCGGCCGACGGCGGCCGCGCTGCGCCGTGGGCCTGGCCGTCAGCGGCCACGCAGCCGGCCAGCACGCGGGTCCGCGTGTGCTGTTCTCTCGGCGGCGGCCGCGCCGCTGATTGCTGGTTTTTGGTGCGGGCGGCAGGCGCGGTTGACGGCGTATGCATTGCTGCGGCCGGGGCTGATTCGGGCGTCTGGCGCGAGCACGGCTCAAGGGGTCATGTGTAAAAGAGGAGCGCCCCAAGGCAGCGCCCTCCTGCGCCAATCCCCCTGCATGCAAGTGCAGCTGCAAGAGGAATCAACATGATGACGAAAACCCTGAATTCCCATCGCGCGGCCTGGAGTGTTCGTGCAGTGTACGCAAGTGTGGCGCCTGGCGCCGCCGCACGCGCGAAGCTTCCTGGTCAAGGGGCGCGCGCGGCGCCGGCGACGCCAAGGGAGGAGGCCGAGCGCGGCGCCCGCGCGTGTGGCGGCGCTCGGCCTGCTACTCACATAAGCGGTGCGAGAAGATTTGGCCGAAGCGCGCACGAGTCAAGTCAGATCTTGTGCCCCCTGGCGGCGCGGCCGGGGCCGTGCGATTCGCGCTAACAGGAGGCAAACAGATGAGAGGCAAGAGGATATGACAGTAGGTGCAAGCTGGCAACGGCAGCTACGCCTGCCAAAAAGCATGCATGTGCCGCGGGACGCGGTGGCGGAGGTGCGGGCGCTGAGCTGCGAGCGCGGTCTTTGGGGCGCCACCCACAGGCGCGCCGGGCGGGTGCGCATCCCGCGTGAGGCGGGCGCCTGCCCTGTGCACGCGGCGCGCTCCTCAAAACGCACCCCATCCGTAGCGCCGGCGCCGCGCGGATGCGCATCGGGCCGCCTCAGGTGCGCGGGTGGGATCGCGTGTGGCGCCGGTCCGGTGGGGCCAGCAGTCCGGCATTAGCCCTGGGCAGGGTGCGTGCCAGCCCGCCCGCGCAGTGATGTGATAGCGCTGGTTGGGCCGTTGCATGTGGCTGCTGTGCACTATCTAGAGTAGTCTGATGCATGTGCAGTCACGGATGTGTTGGTGAGAGGGTTGACGGGCCGTGGCCTTGAACCCTGACGCTCCATGCGCATGCACCCGACTTGACCTGGATCTGCTGACTGGGCGCGAAAGCCCCGGTGAAGGGCGTCATAAAGATAGGGCGACGCAGCAGGGGGTGCACCCTCGTCGCGCCGATGCAGCCCCGCCCGCCATCGGCCGGGAGCCTGTGAGACGGCGCGCATGAGGGAGGAGGACGCCTGATGCCGCATGAACATCGCCGGCACACCGCCACCACTGACGCCGGCGCTGCAGTGGCGGCAGCTCGCCAGCGGCCGGCCCTCAAGCGGCGGCCTCGAAATGACATCACATCGCTGGACTGTGCTGGTCTATATTGAGTGGACTGCCTGGACTGGACTGGGCTGAACTGGACTGGACTGGACAACATGTCAGCCTTTGGCGTGGTCTCTAGCTGCCTGACGGCGAGTTGTAGGGCTGAGACGCCGCGGGTACGTACTGGCCTGGCACAAATTGGCCGGGCACTGCGGGCGGGGGCGACACAGCGAGGGAGCAATGCAGGGGTCTGGGATTCGAGCGAGCTGCCAGGCCGCCGCCACGGCACGCGGGGCGGCCGCTGCTGCGGCTGCCTTTCCCGCAGGGCTCTCGGCGCAACCGCAGCCGGCCGGGGCGGCGCCGGCACGCAGCACTTCCAGGCTGCAGCAGGCCGCAGCAGGCGGGGCACAATCGACGAGGCAACTGGCCCCCGGCCCAGCCAAGGCGCGCGCTTCGGGGGCGGGCGTCCTCCCATCCCCCTCCCCCCCGCCTCCACTCGCGGCTGCACCTGGGTTCGAGTCTACAGTGCTTGGGTGGACAGGCGCGCCGACGTAATTCCACATGGAGGGTGTCATGGGGTCCGGGGGCCCGCTAGCCGCCACTGGTGGCCCCCACTGCTGCAGTGGCGCGTACACCTGTTGCTGCTGCTCCTGCTGCTGCTGCTGCTGCTGCTGCGGCGGCGGCGGCGAGAGATACACAGGCCCCTGCTGGCTGTATCCCGCCAGGTAGAGCCCCTGCGGCACCTGCTCCTGCTGCTGCTGCTGCTGTTGCTGCGGTTGCAGGTGAGCCGGCTGCGACTGCTGCACCTGCGCCACCGAGACCTGCGCATGCACGGCACGGCCGCCAGATGCGCCGGCCATGGCCGCTGGGTCCATCACGTAGTAAGGCATAGGTACTGCCGCGCCGCTGTACTGCACACCGCCGTACTGCCCGCCGCCGTACTGCCCACCGCCGTAGTGCCCCGCAAGCGGCACGCCGGCGGCGACGGCGGCGCCGCCGTACTGAGGGTATAGCTCCTGGGGCGCCACGATGAAAGTGCCGGCCGGCGCGGGCGGCGCGGCGCGCAGGCTGACACCTAGATGACGAGGGGCCGACGGGCGTGGAGGGGCGGCTTTCGGTGTCGACCCCAAAACGGGTCCGACAGTGCTCTGCACATGCAATCTAAGATGTGCCCTGCCGCCGCCATGCCGCATGCGCGCGGGCCGGCTGAACGTGATGGGTTTGTGTGCAAGCTCGCCGCTGGGGCGCGGGGCAGCGGGTGGCCTGCTCACCTTGGAAAGCCTGGGCAAGCTCGTCTGCTGAGACCGCGGCCGGCGGGCCTACCTGCGCCACCACCACCTGCCCGGGCACGCGCCCGTAGCCCGCCGGCGCCGCCACGCCGAACGCCGCGCCCGGCCCGCCGGCGCCGCCGAGCCCGAGCGCCGCCCAGCGCCGCCGCAGCGCGGCCTGGCTTGCTTGGTATTGCGCCGCCTGCGCCGCCTGCAGCAGGTCGTGCTTGGTGCTGGCGAACACCTCTATGTAGCGCGCCCCCATGCGATCCTTGTGCTTCAGCATCGCGGCCGCGGCCGCCGCCTCGTCGACGACCTCCACATACGCCTCGCCCGTCGGCCGCCCGTCCGCGGTGAACGTGAACACGACCGCGCCCGCGCCGGGGGCGGCGAGGGGGATCGGGGATAAGAACGCTTCGACGTCGTCGGCGGTGGCAGCGAAGGGCAGGCCGCGCAGGTGGAGGCAGTGGCCGCGCGGCGCCAGCTCCTCCAGGATTTTTCGGACGGCCTCCAGGTCCGGCATGGCCGCATCGAATATCCTGGGGGCAGGGGCCACAGTGCGCACGCATGGCGTCAGCGAGCGGGCGGCCTGGGCGCGCGGCGCCGCGCGCTGGTTGCGCCTTGGCTGCGGAGCCCAGCCTCTCCCTTTGCATCGCAGGGGGAGTGGTGCGGCCCTGCTGCATGGGCCAGGCCGTGCGAGCGACGCGGGCGCGCGCGCCCCACTGCGTCAAGCGCGCGCCTCACTCTATGTATCTGTGCCCGATGTGGCGCTTATCCAGCTGCTGCCGCGCCGAGGCCGCCTCCTCCGCCGAGGGGAGGACGACGTAGCACTCGCCTGTGCTGCGCCCTGCAGTATGCAAGGGCGTGCGGCGGCGCGGAGCGCCGGGTTTATGTGCCTCACCGTGCTGTCATATTTGCAAATTACATGCGTAGACCAAGCCAGATACCACGGCGGCCTTTTCGCTTGGCAACGATTTCACAACGGAGCATTGTGGCTGGTGGGCGCGGGCGACAGTGCCGCCCAGCCAGCTGCCTCAAACCCACGGCGCCCACCGTTCCGTCGGCAGATGTAGACCTCGAGCGGCTGGCGCACGCCCTCTGCCTGAGCAAAGAATTCAAGAATGCTGGCCTCCTGGGCCGCGAACGGAATGCCGCGCAGCCTGAGCACCGCTGGCCGCGGCGACGGTGGCGCTTCGGCCGCGGCGGCCGCCTCGTGCACGCGAGGAGTTCTAACAGGAGACTTTGATTGGTAATCCTGCTCGAACGGCGCGCTCAACTGGTCCGCCGTTCTGGGAGCGAGATCGGCCATCGTCCTACGCCGCCTCTTTCACGAATGCCGCTTTTTCACTGTTCAGATGTCACTTGCACCAGCATGCTGCGTCACGCACCCGCTGCAACGCCGCTACAACCGCTCCAGTGATCGCCGCGGGCCAACCTTTGCGGGCGATCACTGAGGGCAGACCTGCAGCCCGGGTGGCCCTGAATGCCTCCGCAAATTATACAGTCGTGAATATCATCACTCTAGCCGTGCAACCGTGAAGACACCCTTGTGCGTGGAACCTAAATGACGCATGGTCGTCGCTAAAACAAAACGGGTGGCCCAACCAGCAAATGAAGGAAGAAGTGGACTGAAGAGAGCTCGTGCCGTGCCCAGACTATACCGTTGACTCCCCAAATTGTCACTTGCTCGTCACCAGTTGCGTCAAGCCATCCAGTTACGCCAGGCACCTGCACCCCGCCGCAGCCACACAGACGCAAATGCGCTGGCCTATACCGCCCTGAGTGTTCAAACAAGCTCGATTGGAGGCCCCGCACCCTGTGGCGCGGCCGTCAGGACTCCCAACCGCTCGCAACCGCCTCGCGCACCGCTGCGCTGTTGCTGCGTCGTGAGGCATCAGCCCCCTCTCCGGAACTCGGGGGCCGCAGCCACAGGAGCGGTGCCGCCATGCGGGCACGACACTCCCTGCGGCCCCTAGTCTGCATGTTGATACACCGCCCCAGGACTGGCAGCCGGTGATTGTCCAGTGCTGCAGTGCGTCTGCGGGCATGTGGCGGCTGCTGCGCCTGCGAACGCCCGACGCTTCACGCTCTCTTACACAGCCGCCTGCGACGAAAGTGAAACTTCATACGGGCCAGCATGTGTGGAAGCAAAGAGGTCAACTCAAGCCTGCTGGGTGCGCTGGCATGAGGTGTTGCCTCGACACCCCAAGCTGCGCCGACACGCTGACAGCCGCCTCATCAACAACCATGCCGCCCTCCCCACAGCAGCGCGACGCAGAGCGCAGGGGGCCCCCCAGCACACAGGTCGCTGCGGCGCGCCCCCGCGGACGCCTGAGCGTCAGGGGCACCCCGCCCTTGTCACCGCCCCCGTCGCTGCGCCTGCCAGTGCCTCTCCAGCTTCCTCGGGCTCGTCCTCCTCCTGTCCGCTGTCATTTGGCTCCTCTCCCTCTTCCAACGGGTCGTGCTGCACTGCAGACAGCAAGACGGCCAGCGCCTTGCGCACTGCCTCCTCGAATTCCGGCGCCGCGGCCTCCACCCGCCCCCGCAGCGCGCCCGCTTCCGCGCGGAAGCGCGACGCGCGGGCGCCGAGCGCCCCGCAGCGCGCGCGTAGCGCCTGGTGGGGGGGCAGGGGCACGCGGATCAGAGGGTGCCGCGGCTCGCGTGTGCGCTTGGGCGGCTGCGGGACAGGCTTGGCGCACCTCATCCTCTGCTGCTGCGGCCCCGAAAATGGGCCAGGCGCAGCGCTGCCAGGCAGGCGGCCCCCATGCACTGCTGATGCATGTGGCCGGGCTCGCGCAGAGGAGAGCGCTGGTTCCCAGGTCTCCCCTCAAAACAACCAGATTTCCCCGCCATCGCCGCACCTGGATGCCTGCGCTGCTCTCGTTCGCAGCCGCCGCCGCCGACGCCTCGGCCGCCGCCGCGCGCGCCTCCGCCTCATCGGCCCGAGCACGCGCCCAGCCGGCGGCCGCGTCCGCCGCGCCGCGCGCCCGCTCGAGCTCGGACCGCTCTTCGTCCCAGGCCGCGCGCGCCTGGGCCGCCTGCTGCGCCGCGCCCTCGGCCGCCGCAGACAGACTGCGCGGGGCAGCAGGGCAGAGTCACGCGCGGCGTGATTCGCAGTCATCGTGTCTCTTGCGTCGCGCCAGGCAAGCATGGCGCATCTCGCTTGCGTTGTGCAACAGACCTTTGCGCATGTCAATCCCCGGCCCCATCACAGGCGCTCGCGCACACCAAGCCTCTGCACGAGCCGCACCTGGCAGCTCGCTGCTCCGCCTCCGCGGCCGTGGCTTCCGCTCGCAGCAGCTCCTCTTGCAGCCGGCCCGCCTCCTCCCGCACGGCCGCCACCGCCACCTGGGCGCCCTCTGCCGCTGCGCGCGCCTCCGCGGCCGACGCGCCGGCGGCCCCGGCTTCGGAGCGCGCGCCCAACGCATCGGCTCGGAGGCGCTCAGACTCGGACTCGTGCCGCGCCGCCCGCTGCTCCGCCTCCAACAGCCGCCGCTCGAGTTCCTCCGCCCGCGCG